CTCCCCGAGGTGGGCTTGTCCCCCTGGAGGAGAGAGGGCATCCGGGCACACTTCCCAGGAATGGGAAAAAGAGCTGCTGGGAGGGAGTCCAGAACTCAGAGCCAGACTCTCCTGAGTCCTATCCAGTGAAGGGACAAGAGGCAACAGGTACATCTGGAAATATGGGAAGTTCCAGGGAAACATAAGAAACGACACTGTTAGTGTGATGTTGGTAAAGAAGTTGTCTGTGGCTGGTATGGACAGTTGTGGATTCTTCATCCTTGAAGGGATTCAGAGCTTGACAGGACTTAGCCCTGAGCATCCTCCAAAGGCTGATCATGCTTTCAGCAGGGGCAGTTGGAAGAGATGATGTCCAGAGTTATTTCCAGCCTCAAGAATTCTATTATGGGGAATAAATGGTGATGCACAGCTGCCTCTGAGAAAGAAGAACTTTTTAGGAACATTAGAATCAAGGGCAGCCTTGTGTACCCAGAAGGGTCCTGGTACAAACCCAGCTCTCACACTACACCAAGCAGTGATGCTCTTCCTGCCCTGCAGACATGGAGGCAGCTGGCACACGTCCCAGGAGGGCAAGGGAATGCCTTCAGTAGGCAAATTTCCTGGGATGGACTCTCCCTACCCCTGGCGAGTCACACTCTAATTTTGGAGTGGCCTTGCGTCAGCTTTTTGGTGTTGGCCAAGCCAGGAGTGTTTGCTGTCTGCAGGCTTGTGTCTCAGTCATGGCTGAATTCCCCTCCAGCAAGGGCAGCTCCATCCCTGCACAGAGAAAACCATCTCCAGCACTGGGCTGTTACCAACTACACAGCTCCAGGCAGCCCTACAGACTTTTCCCTCAGTCTGACCTTTTTTCAGCAAAAGAGGGTGGACATGAATGTCCTCATTTTTCCCTGGTCCCACATTCCATTTCTCCAGAGACCCCTCTGGCACATTTTCCTGTACTGCTGTGTCCCTGCCCAGGCCTTGGGCCTTTCATCTCAACACTTGAAAGCATCTTCAGAGGCCTAATGGTCATGGCAGAAATGAGGAAATGAAACAGCAATGCTGATGGAAACAAAAGCACAACCTGGGCCATTACGTAGGATGTTTTGCTTTGGAGATGAGTCTGTTTTAAAATTACTGCCCTATGCAGTGACTGTGGGCCTGGGGCAGTGCAGGAGCAGTATAAAAGTCGGCCCTTTTCCTCACTCTCTCACACACTCTTCTCGCCTCCATCTCCATAGGAACAAGGTGGGTCTGGTGACTTTTCTCCTCTCCTTCCTCTTCCTCTTCCTCTTCCTCTTTTTTTTTCCAGTGCATACCCTTTTGTCCTGTGCTGCATTATGGGACTGTTCTCCATGGGAGGTGACACAAGTGAGGTCACATGGAGGGAGGCTGGGGCTTGGCTGAAGTGAGTGATGGCCTAGGCAGGAACTCTCTGGGATTGGTTGCTCTTGATGGCGAGCTTGTGGGCTAAATGTAAGAAAAAACCTGTGGGCACCCCTGCAACACCTCCAGCTCTTGTCTCCATCTTGGTCTGACACGGCTCCCTCATGGTGGGGCGACAGGCTGCTCCTCATCCATCTGCCTTGCTCTGCTTCCCCTGCCCTCTGTCCCAGGTGCAGCTCCAGCCCCAGACATGTCCTGCTACACCCCGTGCCGGCCCTGCCAGCCCTGCGGCCCGACCCCGCTGGCCAACAGCTGCAATGAGCCCTGTGTCAGGCAGTGCCAGGACTCCATCGTGACCATCCAGCCCTCCCCTGTGGTGGTGACCCTGCCCGGGCCCATCCTCAGCTCCTTCCCACAGAACACCGCCGTGGGATCCTCCACCTCCGCTGCCGTTGGCAGCATCCTCAGCTCTCAGGGAGTGCCCATCAACTCCGGGGGCTTTGGTCTCTCTGGCCTGGGCAGTGGCCTCTGTGGCAGGAGCTGCTTCCCCTGCTAAAGCTGCTCCCTGCTCTGGGCTCT